CACAGTGGCTCACACCTGTAATCTTCGTGCTTTGAGAGGACAAGGCAGACAGATCACCTGGGGTTTGAGACCAGCGTGACCAATATCGTGAAACCCCGTCTCTACAAAAAAAATTGAAAAAATTGTCCCTGCATGGTGTCACACCTGTAGTCCCAGTTACTCAGGAGGCTGAAGCATGAGAATCACTTGAACCCTGGAGGCAGAGACTGCAGTGAGCTGAAATGGTGCCACTGCACTCCAGCCTCAGCGACAGAGGGAGACCATGTCTCTAAATAAATGTGGCCAGGTGTGGTGGCTCACCCATGTAATCCCAACACTTTGGGAGGCCAAGGAGGGTGGATCACAAGGTCAGGAATTCAAGACCAGCCTGGCCAAGATGGTGAAACCCCATCACTACTAAAAATACAAAAATTGGCTGCATACAGTGGCAGGCGCCTGTAACCCCAGCTGCTCAGGACGCTGAGGCAGGAGAATCTCTTGAACCGAAGAGGCGGAGATTGCAGTGAGTCTAGAATGCATCACTGTACTCTAGCCTGGGCCACAGAGCAAGACTCCCTATCAAATAATTAATTATTTTACACCTGTAATCCCAGCACTTTGGGAGGCTGAGGCAAATATATCACCTGAGGTCAGGAGTTTGAGACCAGCCTGACCAATATAGCAAAATCAGGTCTCTACTAAAAATGCAAAAATTCGCTGGGAGTTGTGGCATGTGCCTACAGTCCCAGAAACTCTGGAGGCTGAGACAGGAGAATTACTTGAACCCAGGAGCAGAGGTTGCAGTGAGCCGAGATCCCACCACTATGCTTCAGCCTGGGTGACAGAGTGAGACTCTGGCTCAAAAAAATACATAAATGTCAAACAACCATCTATGTCTGAGGCCCTGGTAAAAATAAATAAATAAATAAATAAAGGCAGATTGCAGAGTCGTGGAGCGGAAACATGCTGGTCCTATCCATGTGGTGAAGGCAGAGTTTATACAGAAGCCTCACAAGAACTT